TTGGAAAGCTGGATTGGTGGTGCTGAATTCTCTTAGCTTTTGCTTATCTGTAAAGGTTTTGATTTCTCCATTGAATATTAATGAGATCCTTGCTGGGTAGAGTAATCTTGGTTGTAGATTTTCCCCTTTCATCACTTTAAATATATCATGTCATCCCCTCTGGTCTGCAGAGTTTCTGTTGAAAAATCAGCTGATAACCTACAGGGAATCCCTTGTATGGTATTTGTTGCTTTTCCTTGGCTGCTTTTAATATTTTTCTTTGTATTTAATTTTTGTTTGCTTGATTAGTGTTTGCCTCGACATGTTTCTCCTTGGGTTTATTCTATATGGGGCTCTCTGCACTTCCAGGACTCTCTGCACTTCCTGGGTTGACTATTTCCTTTCCCATGTTAGGGAAGCCTTTGATTATAACCACTTCTAGTGCTTTCTCAGACCACTTCTCTTTCTCTTCTCCTTCTGAGACCCCTATAATTCTAATGTTGGTGCAGTTAATGTTGTCCCAGAGGTCTCTGAGACTGTCCTCATTTCTTTTCATTTTATTCTGCTCCACCATTATGTCTTGCAGCTCACTTATCCATTATTTTTACCTAAGTTATTCTACTATTGATTCCCTCTAGTGTATTTTTCATTTCAGTTATTGTGCTGTACACCACTGTTTGTTCTTTAGTTCTTCCAGGTCCTTGTTAAACATTTCTTGTATCATCTCAATCTGTGCCTCCATTGTATTTCTGAGATCTTGGATCATCTTTACTAATATTACTCTGAATTCTTTTTCAGGTAGATTGCCTATTTCCTCTTCATTTATTTGCTCTTGTGGGTTTTTACCTTGCAACTCCATCTGCAACATATTTCTCTGTCCTCTCATTTTATCTGAATTACTGTCTGTGGTCACAGTTCCCCTTGCTTCTGTTGTCTGTTCCCTCTTGGGTAAGATTGGTCCAGGAGCTTGTGTAGTCTTCCGAATGGGAGGGACTGGTGTCTGCAGTCTGGTGGGTGGTGCTGAGTCTTTTCCCTCTGATAGGCAGGGCCACAACAGCTGTGTGTTTTGAGGTGTCTGTGAGCTTCGTACGGCTTTAGGCATCCTGTCTGCTGACAGGCAGGGCTACGTTCCTGTCTTACTGTTTGGTGTGAGGTGTCCAGCACTGGAGCCTTAAGACAGTTGGGTGGAGCCAGGTCTTGGCATCATGATGGATACTCACTCAAGACAGCTTTGGGTACAGTGGCCACAACTGAGGTGTGTGTGTGAAGCGCCTGTGGTGCCAGAGACCAGCAAAAAGTTGCAACAAACTCTTATCTTGTCTAATATTATTGACCCACAATATTCTTTGCATGTGTAAATTGTCTCCAGGAAGATGACCTCTCTCAATTTCACATTCATACGTTGGAGACTTCAGAAAACAAAGAGGAGGCAGGGAGGGTCAGAGGTTCCAAAAGTCAGTCCTCCGAAGTGGTCCCAGATTCATCTTTCAGTGACAGCATCCAGAAGGAAGTCAGTGGAAAGGCCTGGGGATCTTTATGAAAGGTCAGAAGCTCTCACCTAAAGGCAAGCAACTCAGAAGTGCCATCATCCTGCAAGTGCTCAGGAATCTTCAAGGTCTCCTTTCTATGATGCAGACTCATGTTAACCTCCCCCCCCCCCCCAAATTATGGTGAGCATCCCTCTGAATGTCAGTGAAAAGATTGAAAAAGGAAGAGATGAAAGGAGAAGAAGTGGTGGTAGGAAGCTACTGTCTCCTTTATTTTGGAAGGATAGTTTGCCTGGATAAAGATTTTTTGACATTTCCCCCACTCCCCCAAACATTGAAAATGTCATCCTACTACCTCAACTTTCTATGATTTCTGATAAAGCCAGCTATAATATTATTGAGGATCTCTGGTACACTATAAATCATTTTTTCATTTGCTGCTTTTGAGATTTTTCTCTTTATTCTTGAGTTTCGTCAGTTCAATTTTGGTAAGTCTATATGTGGATTTTTTCAAGCTTATTCCACTTGGAGTCTATTGATCATCTTCATTTTTTTTTTTAAATGTAAATTTATTTTAATTGGAGGCCAATTACAATATTGTAGTGGTTTTGCCATACATTGACATGAATCCACCATGGGTGTACATGTGTCCCCATCCTGAACCCCCCTCCCACCTCCCTCCCCATCCCATCCCTCTGGGTCATTCCAGTGCACCAGCCCCGAGCACCCTGTCTCATGCATATTGATCATCTTTAACATTTAGATTATTTTTTCATCAAGTTGGAAAATTTTTTGCCAGTATTTCTTCAAATATGCTTTCTGTCCCTTTTACTTTCTCTTCTCTTTGGGGGAATCTCTATTATACACATATATTCGTATGCTTGATAGTGAGCTTCCCAGGTGTCTCAGTGGTAAAAAATTCACTTGCCAATGCAAGAGATGCGGGTTTGATTCCTGGGTCGGGAAGACCCCCTGGAGTAGGAAATGGCAACCCACCTCAATATTCTTGCTAGGAGAATTCTATGGACAGAGGAGCTGGTGGATACAGTCCATGAAGTCACAAAGAGCTAGACATGACAGAGCAACTGAGCACACACGTGGTTGATGGTGTCTGATGGTTTTCTGAGTTCGTGTCCATTTTTCTTCATTTTCCATCTTTATGCCCCTCTTATTAAATAATCTCTATTGACCTATCTTCAAGTTTTCTGATTCTTTTTTCTGCCAGCTCTAGTCTGTTCTTCATTTCCTTTAATGAACTCTTCATTTGTTTAGTGCTTGCCCTTTTTAATTAGAGTATCTGGTTTTTTTTAAACAGTTTCTCATTATTTATATCTATTTGGTGAGACATCACTTTTATCCTTTCTTTTACTTCTTTAAACATCATTTTCTTTAGTTCTTTGAACATGTTTTTAACAGATGATTTAATATCACTGACTATAAGATCCAAAGTCTGTGCCTCATTAGGGACATTGTCTGTTGGTTGCTTTTTTCCCCTTGAATATGTGAAATATATTTCAGAGTCTTTGCATGCTTTCTATTTTAAATAGATATTTAACATCATATATTGTAACAAATTTGGCATTAGATTCTTCCTTTCTCATCCAGAATTCATTATTTTTGCTGTATTTTTGGTTGTTGCTTTCTTGTTCTTGCTTATTTGTTTAGTGACTTTCCTAAATTCATTTCCTAAAGTTTTGACTTGGGGTCTCTGAATTCTCTATTTTTTGAAGAAGTTCCTTTTAAAAATCCTTACATGTATATGTATAATTGATTCACTTTACTGCATACCTGAAATTAACACAACATTGTAAATCAACTATACTGCAGAACAAAACAAAACAGACTGACTTCCTAGGGATTACTCCTGGGTCAGTATAATTTAGTGCCTTTACCAAGGGGAACCTGTGTGAAAATACACCCTTTAAAATTTCAATAAGTTTAGAACTCAGTCTTAGCTTCCACTTTTTGCTTGCCCAGGGTTTCAGAGCCAGCCAGAATGGGTATTTCTCCTTTCCCAAGTTTTTCCTCTTAGACATGCATAGTCTTCTACATGTATACAGTATTTTTGATTGCTAAGAATATGCCGTGGCTTCTCAAAGCTCCCTGTGGTTTTCTAGTTATCAAATATTTTCTTTTAAATTTCTGACCAAGCTTTGGTTCACTGCAACTGAACTCACACTTTATGCAACTGCACTGTAGTCAGTACACTGATATTATTTCAATACTTTCCTGGTGATAGGACTTTGTTTTCACTTTGTATTTACACAAATAGCCACAATAGCCTGGGGACAGAGATTTTTCAGAATGTTGTAACTTAAGAAAATATCAACTGTGCCCAGAGAACGATGCTTTTAAGAGAGCATCAGAGGATGTCCGTCCTCTCAGCTGGCTGCAGGACTAGGCTTTTCCTGGCTACTGTGCAATGAGCTGGGGATTGAGGTGGAAGTGGGAGTATCTCCAGGTTAAAACATCACAGATCTCTGTTTCTTGACACTCAACAGTGTCACCTGGATAGACAATTTTCAGCTGTTACTTTGAGTTTGGTTAATGTCCACCCCAGGTGGCGCTGGTGGTAAAGAGCCCGCCTGCCAATGCAGGAGATATGAGACGCGGGTTTGATCCCTGGATTGGGAAGATCCCCTGGAGGAGGGCATGGCAACCCTCTCCAGGATTCTTGCCTGGAGAATCCCAGGGACAGAGGAGCTAGGTAGGCTCAGTCCATAGGGTCACAAAGAGTTGGACACAACTGAAGTGACTTTGCAGGCACATGCATGCACTTTCAAACTATTAATTTTAGGGTCTTTTTTTTCTTTTTTTTGTTGACATTTTCCTTGTTTTGGGGAGACTCAGGGACCTTAACTTGGAGGCATGTGGTTCCAGGAGGGAGGGTGAAAGCTGAGCCGTGGTTCAGACCACAGCCTGTGACTGGGTGGGTGGAGGTGGGGGGTGGGCAGAATGGAAGAATGACATCATAGAGTTGCTTGTGCTGCCATCCCAGAAGTCAGCCTGCCAGCACTAATATTTATAGTTACTCCAATTTCTTATCTTTCCATCTTCCTACCCGTCAACATAAAACTAGACACTAAATAAAATCAACATATTCCAGACTATTTACAATATCTCAAACATATTTTCCATCATACAATCAAACGTTCCTAGAAATATGAAAAAGAAGAAAGGAACAGGTAATAACAGACACTGGGTCATTTCAAGAAGTCAAAATTCAAGTGTGATAAGCAACATTTTAATTTACATTAAATGATTTATCATAATAGAAATTTAATTCCATGATTAACTTCATACATCTTGAATTATTTTTATGGCTAATGAAATGTAACAAAGATTTTAGTAATTGGAGTATATCCTTTTCATTTTGATAAAGATTCAGTAGAAAATTAAAGTTCTTATATCTTAATCTATCCTCCAAAAATTTGGGTAGGTTTCCAGTGATTCAGAGACAATGCTACTCCCTTATGGACTCTCATCTTGTCAAGTAAAATCATCTTTAGAGTTGCCACAAACATTCTGACTTACCAGAGACCTTGAACGCTTCCTCTCAAACAATACTGTAAAGATTCCTGACAGCAAAAACTGGAAACAAAAATCACATTTATTAATACCTTGTCATTACATCTCCATGTAATCAACTTAAAAAGCAAGAGAACTCTGGAATGCCATAACATGAACAGCATCATATTCACTCTTTTGTGGGACCATTGAGAAAATCATGGACCCCTTGAGGTGACTTTATGTGTTAAAAGACTGTCAAATTTTACTTGGATTTTTTTTCAATCACAGTTTATTGAGCCCATGAGGTGAATTACAAGAAAATGCATCTAGTTGATGAACTTACTACTAAAAATGCTATACCTTAGTGATATCACATACAAGTACTTTAAATATAATGCTGAAATATTTTATTAATAGAAAACATCACATTTAGAAAGTATTTGATTCATTATATATATTTAAATGTAAGAATTACATAATGTCTTCAATGAGTAGCTTGTTCTGTGACCTTCCATCAATCCTAAAACTTGTTAGAAAGATGGCAGTTATGGTGCATCAGAAATTTATTTTTTCCAATGGTGCAACTTTAATGTATGCATGGAAACTTTCAACAGCATTGAAAGAATAACTGTTCAGTTAGTAGTGAAGGAAAAGGAATATTCTGTCTCCCCAAAACGGCACCACTAACAAGCCAGTGCATGCACGTGCACTCAGCTACTCAGTCAGGTCTGACCACGGACTCTAGTCTGCCTGGCTCCTCTGTCCACGGAATTCTCCAGCAAGAATACTGGAGGGGGTTGCCAGCTCCTACTCCATGGGATCTTCCTGCCCCAGGCATCAAATCCACATCTCCCGTGTCTCCCGCATTGGCAGCTGGATTCCTTACCAGTGAGTCACCGGGGAAGCCCAACATGTCAGTACTGAAGAGCATTTTGGGGTCAGAAGGATATGAGTTTGAATTCTCTGAACTGTGCTTTCTATGACACTCAAGAGAAATTATGTGGCTTGTCATAAGTTTTTCCTTTTTCATTGGTTAAGTGACAATAATATTTTCTAACTTGTGTTACTAAGTGGTTATTGTAACAGTTATATATGAAGTAATTTGCTGAATTATTTGTAGTCAACTTGGTCCTACAGTTTTCACCTATGACTCAGAACTACATTTTCTAGAATTAATTTCTGTTATTTTCAGTTACAATAGTGTAAGAGAAAATCTCAAGCAATATTTGGAAGGTAGAAGGGAAGCAGAAACTGTAACTCTCAGAAGATCATAGTGATCAGACATGGCAGCCATGGCCTCTTTTTTCTCCCTCTCCTCTGTATATTTTCATGTTATCTTCCAGAGAAAGCAATTTCTAGATCGATTCCTGATCTTCCCTTTGCAACCCCATTCTGGTGGCCTAGAATCCAGAGCTTCAAGATTTAACTACATACACTTTGCCTGCAATGCAAGAGACCCTGGCTGGATTCCTGGGTGGGGAAGATCCACGGGAGAAGGGAGAGGCTGCCCACTCCAGTATTCTTAGGCTTTCCTGGTGGCTCAGATGGTAGAGAATCCGCCTGCAATGCGGGAGATCTGGGTTCAATCCCTGGGCTGGGAAGATCCTGTGGAGAAGGGAATGGCTACCCACTCCAGTATTCTGGCCTGCTGAATTCCACGGACTATACAGTCCATGGGGTTGCAAAGAGTCGGACACGACTGAGCACCTTTCACTTTCAACTTGTCCATTCGTGCTGGTGCCTTGTGAAAGTGAGTGTTAGTTGCTCAGCTGTGTCTGACTCTGTGATCCCGTGGACTGTAGCCCACCAGGCTCCTCTGTGCATGGAATTCTCCAGGCAAGAATACTGGAATGGGTTGCCATTTCCTTCTCCAGGGGATCTTCTTGACCAGGGATCAAACCCAGGTCTTCTGCATTGCAGGCAGAGTCTTTACTGTCTGAGCCACCAGAGGAGCCTTAGGTAGGAGCAATTAGTGATCTTTTTTATGATCCTCTACCTTTGTTTGCACATCTTGTCTGCAGGAACTCCCACATTTACAAAGGCTTCAATTCTTATTCCAGTTTCTAGATTCCCATAAATATTATGGTAGCCTGTTTTTCTTTACAAAACCCTGCACTGAAATAAGTACCTTATAATAAGCCCCCACATTTGGACAAATGGTAGATAGTCTTAATTTTTATTTCTTTCTGTTACATTTCTATGTCCACATACCTTCCTCAGGATTCTTTCTAGTATTTTGAAATGGGTGCTACCTTTGTCTTCCAGTTACTCATCTTAGCCATCCTACACACAGCAAGAGAACACTCTCTTCTCAGCATCCTAGGCTTCCTCCATTTGAGGTGCTCATTCCAAAGTGTCTCCCAGAAAATCAAAACATACAACAAAGTCATCAAAAAAGAAAACAACCACTAGAGCAGTGTTTTCTTTTTTAATCTCCGGCAAAATCAAACTCACAAAGGAAATTATTGTAGCTATTTATCACATGTTGCCAAGGCTTCTTCTGAAGGACTGAAGCATGTATGCTCATTCTCTCTTGTAACTCTATTTCTGATCAATGAGAAATTAAGGCATCAAAAGGGTATATAAGCAATAGTGAATGCCAACTGATTTACAGGTAGATAATCAACTGCTTCAAAGGTGTTGATTCCCAGTTCAGTGGGGCTCTGAAGGAGGGCTTATGGCATGCAGACCAGTTAATGGGATACGGTATGGCAACAGGGAAACCTTGATTATATGGGACTCAAATTGATTTATGGCATTTCTGTTTCCTCTGTTAGTATATTTGTCAGGTAAGGACTAGTGATATGTGGGAGAATAGTTGGGGGACACCTTAAATAGATGGGCCTAAGAAGGTCTCTTGAAAGAGAGACATCAAAGCTGAGATAAGAGTAACCTGAAGTCTTGAAGACTAGAGGAGTTTTCCAGGGAGAGGAAATAAAAACACTTACAGAGGAGAAATCTTTACTGGTTTAAGGAATAGAACAAAGACCAGTATGCCTGGAACATAAAGAGGATTATCACTCCTATAAGATTTCTCTAAGATCAACTGTTATCTTGCAGAAAGAATGCTGTTTATTTTCTTTCTAACACTAACATTTATAGAGATTTTAAAATAATTGCTTTCTTGTTAACCTTTGTCTCCTTAACTGAGAGAGTGAGATCTATGAAAGTGTTGTTGTTGTTGGTTTTTTGCTAAGTCGTGACCAACTCTTTGCGACCCCATGAAATACAGCACACCAGGCTCCTCTGTCCCTGTCTCCCAGAGTTTGCTCAAACTCATGTCCATTGAGTCGGTGATGCCATCCAACCATCTCATCCTCTGTCATCCCCTTCTCTTCCCACCTTCAATCTTTCCCAGCATCAGGGTCTTTTCCAATGAGTCATCTCTTCACATCAGGTGGCCAAAGTATTGGAATTTCAGCTTCAGCATCAGTCCTTCCAGTGAATATTCAGGGTTGATTTCCTCTAGGATGGACTGGTTGGATCTCCTTGCAGTCCAAGGAACTCTCAAAAGAGTCTTCTCCAGCACCACAGTTTGAAAGCATCAATTCTTTGGTGCTCTGCCTTCTTTACGGTCCAACTCTCACATCCATAAATGACCACTGGAAAAACCATAGCTTTGAGTTATGGACCTTTGTCCATAACATATATGGACTTTTGTCAGCAAAGTGATATCTCTGCTTTTTAGTATGTTGTCTCGGTTTGTCAGAGCTGTCTTTTCAAGGAGCAAGCATCTTTTAATTTCATGGCTTCAGTCATCATCCACAGTGATTTTGGAGCCCAGGAAAATAAAATCTGCCACTGTTTCCACTGTTTCCCCATCTATTTGCCATGAAGTGATGGGACTAGATGCCATGATCTTAGTATTTTGAATGTTGAGTTTCAAGCCAGCTTTTTCACTCTCCTCTTTCGTCATTCTCAAGAGGCTTTTTAGTTCCTTTTCACTTTCTGCCATTAAGGTGGTATCCTTGATAGCTCAGTTGGTAAAGAGTCTGCCTGCGATGCAGGAGACCCCTGTTTAATTCCTGGGTGGGGAAGATCTGCTGGAGAAGGGACAGGCTGCCCACTCCAGTATTCTTGGGCTTCCCTTGTGGCTCATCTGGTAAAGAATCCTCCTGCAATGCGAGAGATCTGGGTTCAATCCCTGAGTTGGGAAGATCTCCTGGAGAAGGGAAAGGCTATCCACTCCAGTGTTTTGGCCTGGAGAATTCCGTGGGCTGTATACAGTCCATGTGGTCTCAAAGAGTCGGACACTACTGAGCAACTGTCATTTTCACTTTTCATCTATAAAAGTAGAGGTACTTTTTATCTTACTTCAACTTAGGTGTGTATCTTATTCATTGTTTTATTCAAGTCCCTAGAACAGTTCTTACAGATAGTGGCTGTCTAGTATGTTTCTTTACTGAATGAGTGAAAATGTAACTTAAACAGTGTAATTCATTTTAAAAATGAAGTCAGACAAACAAGTGAAAAGCACTTTCAATAGATTCCATGTCTTCTGATTCACTCTTCAAAGTTCATCTTCAACTAGTTCCCAGATTGTAGAGACCATGAAACATAGCCTCCTGTGAAATACCAATCACGATCCCTTCAGGTTTATTTGGTGTCTGTGTAAATTACAAACTGACTCCAAAATTTATATGGTAAGGTGATACAAGGATAGCCAAGTTAATCTTGAAGAAGAACATGACCACCTGTACTGATATTAAAATTTATTTAAAGACACTGTAGTGAAGACACTGTGATATCATCACAATTATAGAAAAATAGGTTCAGAAATGGATTCAACCCTATGTGGACATTTGATTTATAGAAGCAAAAGAATCTTCTTCCCAATAAATGACACTTTTGAAAATTCATATTCTATAAAAATAAAATTTGATCCCTAAGGTATATCATAAAAATAAATTCAAGGTACACTGGAAATCCAAATGTAAAAAGGTAAAATAGTTTAGATTCTAGTACATAATATAAAAATAACTTCCAAATCTAAAAGCAGAAAAAATTTATTAAATTAGGTATAAAAAGTACTACCTAAAGAGGGGAAATTATCGTAGTGGGTAGGACTGAAATTAATAAATTATTAAATTGAAAGACATCCTTAAGCCACAGAGTGGAAATGACAATTAGAATGCATAAACTGATACAGAGTTTGTGTCCAGAATATATAAAGAATTACAGCAAATAAGTACAAGACAGAGAGAACACCCAATTAAAAAATGTGAAGAAACTTGTATAGGTGCTTTTAAAAGAGGATGTCAAAATAGACAATAAACAAAAAACTTCTCTACCTCATTAGTTAGCAAGGCAAGCTAAAACTCCAAGTTTAGAAGCACTAACCAGAATGGATAACATGAGGAAACCTGGCAATTCAAAGCACCTCGGAGGGCACGCACGCTTGTGTGCTCCGGAGCTCAATCGCATCCACTCAGTGTGACCCCATGGACTGCAGCCTGCCAGGTGCCTTTGTCCACGAAGATTTCCAGGCAAGGACACTGGAGTGGGTTGCCATTTCCTCCTCCAGGGGATCTTCCTGACCCAGGGACCAAACCCACATCTCCGGCGTCTCCTGCATTGCAGGTGGATTCTTTAGCATGGAGTCATAGAGGGAAGCCCTGAGACTCTATGAGGAAGCCCACAGAGGATACAGAATGACAGCAATTTACTGCCTCCTAAAAAGGATGCAAATCGGTAAAACTACCTGGGAGAAGTTTAGCATTAAATGCTAAAGCTGAGTATGTGTGTAAACCTAAGATGTTGCAATTTTGCTTTTGTATATATACCTAAAAGTGATAGCTACACATGTGCAGCTAGAGGCATGTACAAGAAAGTTACTAATAGCCCACACTGGAAGTTCTGTAATACTTCAAACTGGAAGCGACCTAAATGCCCATTCATTAGCTTACATAAACTACAGTAGATGAATACAATGAAATATTAATCAGCAATAATAATGAATGAACTACAGCTATATCAATAACAAGGATGGATCTCACAATCCTAAGTTGAGCAAAGCAGCCAAATACAAAATAATACATACTGTCTGATTCTACTTTCATAAAGTTTAAAAGCACATTAGAGTAATGTACGATATTAGAAGTCAGGCTAATGGTTAAGATAAGGAGGGAGAGGTTACTGATCGGAAGGGACATGAGAGGAATTTCTAAAGTGCTGGAATTTTTTTATCTGACCTGGGTGTGAAAGTGAAAAGTGAAGTGAGTAAAACTATGGAAGTAAAAAGAAAGAAAGAAGCTGGGTAGGGTGAGACAAAATGGAATTGCCGGTACCAAAGGGAAATGGGTTATTGTTTCAAACTGAATGGCTCAGGTAGGCCTCATTGAAAAAGTTATTGTTGATAATCGATTATTATAGTGGGTTGGCTAGAAAGTTCATTTGGGTTTTTCCATAAGACCTGATGAACGTTTTGTCTCACCCTACCCAACATTTTCTTTCTTTCCTTCTATAGCTCCATTATCTTCTAACATTCGACTCCTGGGTAGAATAAAGCTGTGAAAGGGCTGGGATCTTTGCTTTGTTTACTGATGTATTTCATACACCTAGAACAGATACCTGATACATAGTATTAGGATGTATTGATTGAGTGACCAAATTTCAAATGTATTACTATTATCACTCAGCATTTTGTGGGGATAATAGCATATCACTCACCATACTATCAGACATAATAAAATTTACTTTAGAAACTTCCGTTCAATTCTACCAAATGCTTCTTGGACAGTAAAACAAAAGATTTCATTTTTATTTCTCTGTACAAATTCTATATATTCCACCATTTCCATGGCAATAATGTTCTCACATCTTGTTTGCCCCACTGGAAAAAAATAAATGCCCTGTGAGCAGTGGGACAATTGCTACCATTTCCTGTTTTCCCAAAATGTCCCTCGTGCATCTTGCCACTACTTCCCCCTATTGAAGAGCATGTAAAAAGCGGATCTTTAACAAAACAGACTCTTATTATAGAAGAATTTTACTGGTATGATCTAAGTTTTTTTTTCCATATTGGTATATGCCTTTCAACTTAGATATAAGAATAAATTCCTTGAAAACAGTGATTGTGCATTTTTAGTGTAGCATACTCTCTCTGGTATGCGACACAGCTCAGAAACAATCATCAAATGAATAAATTAATAAAGAACAATAAAGGAGTAGATTATTTACTCACAAAACCAGCTGCCCAAAACGGGAATCCTGACAGTACTGCAACAGGAATATATACTCTTTGAAATGCTATAATTTGTGAGACTAACAAATATGTCCAGAGCAGTCCCAGGGAGTGAACAAACAGACCAGTCATTATTTGCACGGCCTGAGAGAAAAGAACAGCATTAATTACTTACTTCTATTCCAGTCCAAGCTTTGAAAGGGACACACATCAAGAGAACGCTGAGGTAGAGAGGGAACGTGACAACCTAACATAATTTTAGGGTTTTCAACGTTTCATTCAGATGAGGAGGGTTTGTTAATATTTCAGAGCAGTGTGCAGATAGATACAGTGGCTATATACATGTCCGATAAAACTGTACTAAAAGCCTGTTTATCTGCTGCATTCGAGAGACTGTAGGGCACGAGCCTCGGAGCCCTGAACACGCTGATCTCAATACGCCTCCATCCCCGCACGTGGTCAGCGACGGTCGGTTTTGCAGGCCACTAGCCCTGCCTTTCGCTCACGGTCCCAGACTGGGACCTGGGACTTTGACTCCTGTTTTGCCACCCGTCATGCCACGTGTGACAGCGGTTTATATCAGAGTCCTGGGTCCTGTATAAATAAGGGCTAAAGAAAGAGAGTGAGCCCTTGAGTTACCTGGTTTTCTATAGCTCTTCCGGGGGCCTATTACCTGGTGTGGGGATTGTGGATGATTTCTGCCCACTGAAGTCAGGCTGAGTACGGCAGCCTCAGAGCCACAGGAGAAGGACAATTCTAAGCTTGCTGTGCAGAGCCCCCTAACACCTCACTTCAGGGCCTTTCAGTTGGTTTTCAAACAGATGTTTCTCAGCCATGCCTGCTTCTGCCATGGCTGAATAAGGCACCCCTCCCTGCTCCTGGGCATCCACCAAACATAGGAATTCAGCTTTAAAAAAAAACTAAAAAAACTAAAGGAGTTATACTGGCATTCAGAACGGAAAATCTCTTGCCTTACTATATCTCATACTTTTAAAATAATTTAATTTCTTTCTTTTCTTTTTTTTTTTGGGGGGGGGGCACACCTGTGTGGCACAAAGGATCTTAGTTCTCCAACCAGGGATCGAACCTGCATGGAGATACACAGAGGCTTAAACGCTAGATAGCCAGCAAAGTCTGTGCAACTCATATTTCCAGAATGTCTGGGTAAACTGATATCCTTTTCCTCAAAAAAACATATCCTCTTAAGCAGGATAACTTCAGCTTGAAGTCTGCAGTAGGCTTCTGTTCTGGTTATGTGATGATGAGCAGAGCTAAAAAGCGGCTAGTTGGTGCGATACTCCCCTCTCCTGGAGAGTACTCAGGCGCAACTCGAAACTATGCATTTAGCGGCAGGCTGCAGTGGAAGGGAGAGGGAAGGGGACACTGCATTCGACAGGACTTTGCCCGCTGCTGCAGTGGTACAGAGTTTTAGCTCCTTGCTAAAGCTGGAATACACTGACGTTTCCTAAAGTCTGAGTTTAGAAGATCGAAGGATAAAAAAAAAAAACCTTTCATATCCAAATAATTATAGATTGCAAAAATATTACAGAGAGGCCCTGTGCCCTGAACCTGGGCGCTCCCAGTGGCGGCGTAACTGTATTTATTACAGCACCAGGATGCGGAGATGGAGCTTGGTATCGTGTGTGCTTGTAGTTCTGTGCCATTCGTTCTGTCTCCCACCACCATACTCAAGAAACAGAACTTCTAAATTACTACAAAGTTATCCTTCATCCCACACCTCTATAATCACTCTCCTTCCAACTTCCTTAATGTCTGGAAGTCACTAGTGTGTTTTCCATCTCTACACTTGTGTCATTCTGAGAATGTTATATAAATTGAATAATTCAGCATGTAACTTTTGAGATTGACTTTTTCCATTTAGCTCAATGCCCTTGAAATCCATCTTAGTCAGTGTGGGTCTCAATGCATTTTCTTTCATCCATGATATGAATGACTATAGTTTATTCAGTTATTCACCTATTGAGGTGATTTCCACTTTGATAATTTCGACATTGAGGGCTATTACAAATAAAACTATTGGCTTCTTCTTGTGTACTGTCTTTGGTTATAGCATCAGAGTAATATTGGCCTATTCAAGTAATTCAAGAAGTGTTCCCTCCTCTTCTGTTTTCTGAAAAAGATTATGAAGAACTGGTGTTAAGCATTCTTAAAGTATTTGGCAGAATTCTTTGGTGAAATATAGACGCCTGGCAATTTCTTTTTTAGGAGTTTTTAAATTACAAATTCAAGAGCATTTTATATCTCTCCATTTCTCTGTATCATTTTCAATTTCTTTTATCAGCATTTTATAGTTTTCAGAGTATAGGTCTTTTACCTTCTTGGTTAAGTTTATTCCTAGATATTCTTTTTGATGTAATTTTCTTCCTTTCTTTTTTTGATAGTTCATTATTAACACACAAAAAAAGAATTAGATTTCTGTATATTAATCTCATATCCCGCAACTTTACTGAAACCATTTAGTATTTTTAATAGTTTTTGGGAGCAGATTTAGTGTTTTCTCTATATAGGATCATGTCATCTGCAAATAGTGACAGTTCTACTTCTTCCTTTCCAATTTGAGTGCATTTTCTTTCTTTTTCTTGACTGATTTCTGTGGCTAATACCATGTTAAACAGAAGTGGTAAAAATGGACATCCTCGTCTTATTCCTGATTTTAGAGGATAAGCTTTTAGCTTTTCACCATCACGTATGATGTTAGCTGTGGGTTTGTAAAAAATGGCTCTTACTATGTTCAGTTATGTTCCCTTTATACCCATTTTGATAATTCTTTTTTTAATCATGAATGGGTGTTAAATGTTGCTAAATGCTTCTTCTATGTATACTGAATTGATCATGTGATTTTTATCCTTTTTAAAATTGTGGTGTATCATATTGGTTGATTTGCAGATACTGAAGCATCCTTGCCCCCCTGGAGTACATCCTACTTCATCCCTGGGTGTGATCCTCCCACAACTGTGCTCTCCCCTTGGCAGCAGCGGCCTTTGCCCCAGCCTGGAGCAGTGCAGTAGGGGTCAGAGTGAGGTGCTTGGCTTAGATCAGTATGTACACTGGGGTAGTTCTGGGATGCCAGTCAGGGTTCCCGGCAGCTTCCGTCTGCTTGGTCTGCTTGTTTTGTGATTAGGTAAGCGCGTGAACAGCTTTACGAGCAGAGGTTTTTCACAGCTACTGCCAGTCCCGAGCTAGTTTTCAAACATGTTAAGGAAAGCTGCCCTCCCTGAGCTGGGCTCCTGGCTTGGGGTGCCCGATGTGTGGTTTCAGTTGTTCATTTCTCAGAGAGGCTCTCTGAGCCTGGGTGGTCCCCTCTCTGTGCCGGCCTCCCAGAGACACGGATCCTGAGCTGACCTCTTCTCCTCTCTCCAAACCTGACTTTGTGTGGTTCTTCCTGTAGCCTTGGCTACACAAGAGTTTTTCTGCTGGTTTCAGTTTGCTTTCAGTGAGAAGTGCTCCACACATAGATGTATCTTTGATGTGGTTGTTGGGGGCCAAGAGCTGCATGTGCTTCTGCTCTGCCATCTGGCTCTCCTCTCACACGGAATAATTTTTATTGTTATACTTAAAGTTTACTGATTCTTTTCTCCATCCTGTCCATACCCTCATTGAACTCCTCCAGTGAGTTTTTTCCAGTTATTGCATTTTTCAGTTATAACATTTCCATTTGGTTTTCTCTATTTCTTCTATTTCTTTTCTTTGAATTTTTATCTATAAACTTGTTTTAAGTATGCTCATAATTGCTTGTTGTTACATTTTTCTAACAGCCCTTAAAAATTCTTATCAGATAATTCTAACAACAGTGTAATTCTGGCGTGGGCATCTATTCATTGTCTTTTCTCATGCAGGTTGAGATTTTCCTGGTTATTTTTTGGATGAGTGATTTTCAGTTGTACCGTGGACACCACTTTGCAAATAAAGGTCCATACCATCAAAGTTATGGTTTTTCTAGTAGTCATGTACAGATGGGAGTTGGACCATAAAGAAGACTGAGAACTGAAGAATTGATGCTTTTGAACTGTGGTATTGGAGAAGACTCTTGAGAGTCCCTTGGACTGCAAGGAGATCAAACCATTCAATCTTAAAGGAAATCACCCCTGAATATTCATTGGAAGGACTGATGCCGAAGTTGAAGGTCCAATATTTTGGCCACCTGATGTGAAGACATGACTCACTAGAAAAGACCCTGATGCTGGGAAAGACTGAAGGCAAAAGGAGAAGGGAGCAGCAGAGGATGAGATGATTCGATGGCATCACTGACTCAATGGACATAATCTGAGCAAACTCCAGGAGATGGTGGACAGTCGAGCCTGGCGTGCTGCAGTCCATGGGGTTGCAAACAGTCAGACCCAGCTTAGCAACTGAACAACGTGGCTGAGAAAATAGGCTTTCCTTGTTTTTTTTTTTTGTCTGTGCTTAATGGTGTTTTTGGGTTACAGGCTTCTTGAGCACTCAGTTCTGGAGATGTGAAGAAAAACAAACAAATGAAATGCCCCAAGAAACTCACCACCATGTCATTCTTTGGATTTCAAGGTCCCTAGCTCTTCTGCCTTCTGAAAATCTTTGTCTTCTTTGTCCAAAGTTTTAGCTGTAACTAGTGGCAGGAATAGACAAAGTCTATCTACTTCACCTTGTCCAAAACTGGAAAGTAGAATTAAATGAGATCTAAACTCTTAGATAATGGTAGATCTCATCAGAAGGATAGTAACGTGACCAGTAACATATATATTCTCAGAAACACTTTATTCCTTCTCAGTAACCATATCGGATTAGCAGAAAAGGGGGTTAGGAATCTAGATCTTAACATCAGAAAATTGGGAATGAGGAGTGGAAACTTGGGTTCATTGTCTGCTTTATGCAAGGCTCTTAGTACAATTCTTGTTGAGGTCAGGTAAATCTTAAATAAGGGAAGACAATAATAGAATTGAGGAGTCAGAAACATTGGACCAAGCTTTAATCCTGTTGGTTTAATTCCTAATCTGGTTCCATCATTTAAAACTGTGGGTGGCTAATGAAAAAGGATGTAACCTGCTAGATTTGATGAGTTGATTGGGATAACAGCGCCATGTCTGTAGGATGATTTTAAGAACATAGTGCCATTATGATCACTGTCCACAATACTGTACGGTCTGCAGATTTTCCTGAATATTATTCCCACAATCTGACCATTTCATTTGGGACCACTGTCATCATCAGCTCAGCTCAAAATAATTTATAGATGCCAAAAAGGGATTTTTATACCTAGTTCCAGACTCAGAGTATATTTCTTGGGAGTATGACTAGGTTGCACTGGTTTGGGGTTATTTAAATATAGTTGATAGATTCATAATTTTTGCTCTATTTAACTTTAATATAGTTGATACTTTCAGGTGGCATGTGAAGAATGCAGATATTATTACATAATCATTTCAGGACACTTTCATTACCTCTCTTTCATTTGGGGAGTTCATAATGGAGGTGGTTAAAGTCCTCTCCTTTTACCTATTTTATATTTAGAGTCATAGTGATGTTTGACAGAAAACAACAAAATTCTATAAAGCAATTATCCTTCAATTAAAAAATAAATAAATTTAAAAAAAGAAATTGCAACATTTTAGTCATTTATTTGCTTAAGTAGCCTTTAGTTCTTACCCCCAACATTCTTGCTTCCTGTCTTATCCACACACGATCTTGTGGCATTTTTCACTAAGGATACAAGAGAGAAATGAGAAGATAAATGCTTCTTTTTTATAGGAAAATACGGAGACAAATAAATACTAATTATGTCCTTGAGTAAGATGCTTAAAATTGAGGGAAATTTAATCCTACAGCTGCTCATTTTTCACTGTTTCATAATTCCCTGAGAGATGTTTTTCATCAAACCACCAATATCACTATCTTGAAAAATCCAATAATTAGTTCTCAAATACTTTTGTTCATTTAACAACCTTAAATAGGACTCTCTCTGTGTGTGTGTCAGCTGCTTAGCTGTGTCCAACTCTTTGCAACCCCATGGACTGTAGCCCACCAGGCTCCTCTGTGCATGGAATTCTCCAGGCAAGAACACTGGAGTGAGCTGCCATTCCCTTCTCCAGGGGATCTTCCGGAGCCAGGGATTGAACCCTCATCTCCTGCATTGCAGGCAGATTCTTTACAGTGTGAGCTGCCAGGGAAGCCCAAGCAGGGCTGTAAAAACCAGTTTATGGTGGTTGCTCCGGTCCATCAGTCCCTCTAAGTATTACCCATATCCCCATATTTACAGGGTCAAAAACGTTGGATTTTTTGTCTTGCTGAGTTTCTCATGGCACCTGGCTAACTTCTTGCCTTTAGATTATGTAATCATATCTGTTCATACAGTACAATAAATGTACACATGTACCTTCATTTTGCTCTTGCTAGTAGGAGATGGTTTTTTCTTGCAACCAAATTGTCGTTTTTTTAAAATCACCTTGTCCTCTAATTTTTCTCACATGGCAATCTACTCTCACAATCTAATCTCCCGAATCTCCAATGTCTGGCACCTTTTCTCCCCCGTCAACCTCTTTATTTTACAGCCATATCAGAAATATAAGACTTGTCTTTAAATTCACTAATAAACTCTTCCTTCCATTTAAACGAGCTCTTAAGGTTTGGGTTCTCTTAGCTGGCCTCCTGAAGCCTGAAACCGAAAGAGGCAGAAAAGCATAGCAGAAGGAGGCAAGTCTGAGCTCACATCTTGCCCTTACCCGTATGCTTTATTCTCTCACGGGGGTACTCCTCAGCAGCAAACGCCCTCTGGAACTGCGCAGGTGGGCAAATAAGACTAACCGGTGCAAAGCGGGACTCGGGAAGACCTTGCGTCGGGGGTGCCCGGCCTCGGCATGGCCCACACCAACCGTGGGTCCCTGCTCGCTCAATCACACGGCGAGCCAGCGGGGCGCGATCTCGCCGGCGGTGCCCTTCGTTCCGGACCCAGAGGCCCGGCGGCAGCACTGGCCGAGCCGGTCCTCCCTCCTCGGCCGGGCCCCGCATCCCCCCCGCGCGGCTCCAACGCAGCAGTTGTGGCCGAGAGGGCGGCTTCCGGCGGCAGCGCGTGGGCGCCCCCGGGACGCGTGCACGGGCGGCCTCGCCGGGATGTGGAGTCTGCAGGTTCCGGGGACACGGATAAGGATGACATGGAGCGGCAGAGGAGAAGGGAATGGCAGCCCACTCCAGACCTCCTGCCTGGAGAATCCCATGGACGGAGGAGCCTGGCGGGCCGTGGTCCATGGGGTCGCAGAGAGTTGGACACGGCTGAAGTGACTGAGCACGCACGTAGGCGGTTAACAGAGACAAACCCTTTGCTGCCTGTGTTGGCATCACACTCTGCGTTTGTGAGCATCACAGCCTGGGCCACGCCTGATTATTCCCTGGCTGCTTCAGCAGAGACATCTCCGTCAAACACGCGGTCTCCTCTCCCTCTTCTGCTAGGTTTGTACTAGCAACGGTCTTTCTGCTTTTAATTTTCACAAGTTGTACCGGGAAGAGAACTGCTCAGCAAAGCTGAGTTCTAGGTTTTATTAGAGGCATGGGTGCTTCAGCAAAATATTTATCTTTCTTTTTCCTTCGGTTGTTTTTCTGTACAATGAGATAATATATTTTCTGTGTACCTCCACTGTTCACACTAAGTTACTCTGAGAACTGAAATCGGGTTATACAAGTTTAAAATATGCTGTAAACAGGTCCCAACAACTAATATATTAGAATTCTAGCTTGACAGCCATCTCCATGATGACATTATACTGGGTACCATCAGTTCAGTTCAGTCGCTCAGTCGTGTCCAACTCTTTGTGACCCCATGGACTGCAGGCCTCCCTGTCCATCACCAGTTCCTGGAGCATGCTCAAACCCATGTCCATTGAGTCGGTGATGCCATCCAACCATCTCATCCTCTGTCATCCCCTTCTCCTCCTGCCCTCAATCCCTCCCAGCATCAGGGTCTTTTCCAATAAGTCAGCTCTTCACATCAGGTGGCCAAAGTATTGGAGTTTCAGCTTCAACATCAGTCCTTCCAGTGAACACCCAGGACTGATCTCCTGTAGGATGGACCGGTTGGATCTCCTTGCAGTCCAAGGGACTCTAAAGAGTCTTCTACAACACCACAGTTCGAAAGCATCAATTCTTTGCTGCTCAGCTTTCTTTATAGTCAAACTCTCAATCCATACATGCTTTTTACTATACTGTCTAGGTTGGTCATAACTTTCCTTTCAAGGAGTAAGCATATTTTAATTTCATGGCTGCAATCACCATCTGCACTGATTTTGGAGCCCAGAAAAATAAAGTCAGCCACTGTTTCCATTGTTTCCCCATCTATTTGCCATGAAGTGATGGGACTGGATGCCATGACCTTAGTTTTCTGAATGTTGAGCTTCAAGCCAACTTTTTCACTCTCCTCTTTCACTTTCATCAAGTGGCTGTTTATTTAGTTCTTCTTCACTTTCTGCCATAAGGGTGTTGTCATCTGCAAATCTGCAAAGTAGAGGCCAAACCCTAACTGGAATGGATTCAAGAGAGAATGGGTGAGAGGAGATAGTTTGGGAATAGTCAAAATGGAAAGTTTTTTTGAGTTTCGTTTTTAAACAAAGGAAAGAAATGTTTTCAAAGAAAGGAAAGTGGTCAGGAGGGTTTTGTTTTAAACAGGAGAAACAATAACATCCTTTATATATTTGTGAGAGTGATCCAGAAGAGAGGGAAGACCTGAAGTCATCAAATGAAGTGAGGATGGAGTGGGAAGTCTTTTTGACTGTGTCTCCTGGAATCTGCATTTTATTGGGCACAGAAATCTGTATATCTCTAACCTCTTCACAGGAAACATTCTGTATCTCCTTTTCCTGAAAACCTTCCTTTCTTTTGAGGGCAAGAGTTTTCTAAGCATTTGCTCACTTTCTGGAACCAAGAGTCCTTAGGTATGGTGAATGATGAATACATTTTCTGTGAATTCTACTGAAACTGCAAGACTCACACTGTCCTTTAGTAGCCACATGTGGAAATTAAGCCTTTGAAATGTAGTTCGTCTGAGCTGACATGTTAAAATGCACACAAAATTTTTGAAGACTGGATATGATAAAAAAAGAGTGTAAAATATCTAAATATTTTTGAAATGTATGGTTAATGAAATATATTATTAAACTTAATTTCACCTGTTTCTGTTCACTTTCTTAGTGTGGCTACTAGAAAATTTTAAATTACACATGTAGCTCATGTTATTTTTTGTTGGATAGAGGCAGTCTAGATCTTTTCACTCTCCTATAAGCCTCTTCCTTCTTTCAGTTCATCTCTTCTTGATGTCTTCTGTCTGCATTTACATGAAATCTTAACAAGGCCCAAAAGGCACCATGTAAGTGGCCCTGCCTGTCTTTCCAACTTTGTCCTTAATCACCTTCCTTTTTAATCAATGAGTTATAGACATGCTATCCTCTCAGACCAGCCAATCTCTTTCCTTTCTCAGGATTTTATTCTATTGCCTCTGCTTGGAGTACTTGTCTTCTGACTTGGAAAATGGCTTGAAAAACCACCTTCTTAGATAAGCACTTGTTTTCTATCTAAAATAGTGCCAGCTATCCACACCATCTCTCTTCCCATTATCCTAGTCATTTCCTAAACAGCATTGTCTACAACGCCATGCTTCCTAACATTCTCCTACAGAGTCATTGAAACAAACACACACACATGCGTATCAGTTATCTTCTCCTTGACGCCATTAGGCCGGGGCCTTTTCTGTCTTGTTTACAACCAGGATCTAAAACAAGGGTGGACATCTAAATAGGTGACACATGAGCACAAGTGAAAATTGATTACATGTGTGATAACATAGGAATACTTAACTGTTTCAGTCAAATTCGGTACATGTCTGTTGGGTAGTATGTTGTTGGAAATCATAGAAACTAAACATAAGTGACTGAAGCTGCTTGAAGTAACTATGGCTGAGACAGCCGCTTCCTCGCCACTGTCTGTCTGTCCCTTTAGTTTCAGCACTTGACTCTCCAAGTTCTATGCGCACTTTGTGGACCCCTTTCCACGGCCTTATATTTTGGCCTTAAATGAAACTCTTCCCTAGGATCGCTTCCATTTTTACTCTTGTCAAAAATCATAATTAGAAAAGACCCTTTGTCTCTGATTTTAAGGCCATTTGATGAGGTCTGGATTCTCTAAGAGACCATCTGGTCATTACCTTGTAACATTTCATACCTGGTTTCTTATGGACCTTTGATTGCTGAATCTGGGCTTTCTTGATTGGAAATGCCATTTGCATATATGGAGTGCACCATAAGCCTATAAATAACTTCCAAAGCTAAATTGCCATTTTAGAATTCTCTACTGAATTCCTAGTCTCATATTTCCAACTTCCTAATAACTGCTTCTACATAGATTTTCCAAAAGCACCTCAGATAAAAAAACAATCCCATCTAAATGCATCATCTGCCTATGATAAACCTTTTCTTTCCCCTCTATTCCAGCTAACTCCCAAGCCCCAGCACTGGTATCACTTGCAAATATAACCAATCTCCAAATTCTTCTGATTTTTTTCTTTCATATACATCACAAACTTTTTGCTCTTTGTCTTCATCTCCCATATTCTAGCTGTAATACGCATCATCTCTCCTCTAGAAAATTGCAGCAATTGTCTAACCTAGGTATCCCATTTTTAGTACAACGGCCACCTCAGTTACATTCTTCACATT